CGACATCCTAAGCAGGGGAAAGCGGCTCGAGGCAATGATGAAACATTTGTGGTTGTTGGGAAACCCTTCGTCTCCTTATGACGCATGCCCTCGGTGTCAGAAGATCGAAGGCTGGGGGGGCAGTTGATGGGACTTTTCTGAAATACTTCATGATGAAGACACGTGTCCTCGGTATTACCAAAACACTGTTGCTATGATCAAGCACCATCGGCTCACAAAGGTCCCTCGCTCCAGAGGTACTCGTCATATGGGATCATGACATTCAGTACGTTTTACAACCGACACGTANTGTTTTCTTCTTCCTCTCTCTCTCAAAGATTGACTAGATCGTCGGAGGGGATACGCTGGAAAACACTCCAGCGCCCTTCTAACTTGTTCTTCTTTGTTCCAGGAACCTTTCTTTCAGCCTTACTGGATCGTTCTTCCGCTCCCCCAGGGTCTCCCGTTGCCGTTCCAGGTTACCACCGGACCTCGCAGGCTGTTCCAAGCAGCGTGGTTGACCACTCAACTGACTCACTCGAGTTCACCAAAGGAGAGATTTGTTATCATTTTTATATTGTGCAGGATCGTGCACGCACAGAATGACAAGCGTAGTTTTGAATTAACGACTTATCGTCANACTCACTCGAGTTCACCAAAGGAGAGATTTGTTCTCGTTTTTATATTGTGTAGGATCGTGCACGCACAGAATGACAAGCGTAGTTTTGAATTAACGACTTATCGTCAAGTACTTGCCCAAAGGCTTCAAATGCCACATCAGCACCTCGGTAGGCCAAAAAATTCTCCTATGGCAGTTTCGATTTTGTCATAGTTACACCTTACTCGATAGTTTCATTATTTTCCACCACAACATTATGTTTGATTTGCACATATTATATGAATAGCTATTGCTCGTTCAAAGCTAAGACTAAACTTTTTTTTAAAGTATGATTGAACCCCGAAACATTTTATACCCAAAACAGACAAGCTACCAAAGCCACGACACAGCAAATTCTTATCGTGTTTTTCACATTGTTATTTCCTCCATTGATATGCGGTGGAAATTGTCAAAGGTATCGAACTCCTTCTGCAGCAACTTGTTGACCGGAGCTTAGTTCAGAACCTGAATTGGAGAAGTGTGGGTTTGGATCCAAATATCTCTGAAACCTTGCCGCACTGGTAAATCCAACAGACGATATATATATATATATATATATATATATATATATATATATTAGTTATTGCCTATGTTTGAAGACNAATTGTCAAAGGTATCGAACTCCTTCTGCAGCAACTTGTTGACCGGAGCTTAGTTCAGAACCTGAATTGGAGAAGTGTGGGTTTGGATCCAAATATCTCTGGAACATTGCCGCACTGGTAAATCCAACAGACAATATATATATATATATATATATATATATATATATATATGTATATATATATGTATATATATATATACATATATATATATACATA